CAACCACACTGGCCCCACCTACCTACAGGAACTGCTAACCAGAAAACAGTCACATACCTCACGCACACTCAGGTCAGACAGCTCCAATCTCCTGGCTGTCCCGCGGACAAAACTGGTCACCATGGGAAACCGTGCTTTCTCCTCCCTGGGTCCACGTCTGTGGAATCAGCTTCCAGAGAACATACGGACCTCAGCATCACTCTCAGTTTTTAGGAAATGCCTCAAGACCCACCTGTTCCACACCGCATTTTACTGACTGTCCTTTACTTTATTTATTTTTAAACCTTCTATGCTCTTAACCTTTTATTTTTATTTTTATATTGCCATATTTTATCCAATATGCTCCTTTAGATAACTTTTTACTTATTGTTCCTTATAGCTTTGTGAAGCACCTTGAGATGACGTAAAATGTGCTATATAAATCAAATGTATTATTATTATTATCAATTATTATAGATCAGACACGCTCTACCCACAGTCTTCCAAGTAAATCACGTGCTGCGTTTAATCATTTAACCAAACAAGTTAGATCCCTCTGCTCCACTGCATGTCTGACTCATGTGAGGGCATGGGTATTTCCCCTGCCCTCATTGTTGTGGTTAGAGGCTTACCATGAGGAATGATTAATGAGCCGTAGGTGTGGCCCTAAACTTTAGCAAAAATGCTTCCATGGAATACTACTTGTTTGTTCGCTTCACATCTAATGATATTAGGCAAGGCAAGGCAAGTTTATTTATATAGCACCTTTCAACACAAGGCAATTCAAAGTGCTTTACAAAAGATGAAAGACATTAAGAAAATGGCATTTAAAATCAGTCATTAAAAAGCAAAGATAATAAAATAAACATTAAAAGACAAAAATACATGGATAAAAGTTACAGTGCAGTTTAAGATGTGAATAGTTCAATTAAAAGCAGCGGCAAAAAGAAAAGTCTTCAGCCTGGATTTAAAAGTAGTAAGAGTTGCAGCGGACCTGCAGGTTTCTGGGAGTTTGTTCCAGATATTTGGAGCATAATAACTGAACGCTGCTTCTCCATGTTTAGTTCTGACTCTGGGGACAGAAAGCTGACCAGTCCCTGAAGACCTGAGAGTTCTGGATGGTTCATAATTTAGCAGGAGGTCAGGAATGTATTTTGGGCCTAAACCATTCAAAGCTTTATAAACCAGCAGCAGTATTTTTAAATCAATTCTTTGCAACACAGGAAGCCAGTGTAAAGACTTCAGAACAGGACTGATGTGATCCACTTTCTTAGTGTTAGTGAGGACTCGAGCAGCGGTGTTCTGAATTAGCTGCAGCTTTCTAATGGATTTTTTAGTGAGACCTGTGAAGACACCATTACAGTAGTCCAGTCTACTGAAGATAAAAGCATGGACAAGTTTTTCCAAATCCTGCTGTGACATTAGTCTTTTAATCCTAGAAATATTCTTTAGGTTGTTGGGGAAATATTTTCCAAGGCCCATAACTTTGACCCAGTTTATCAGTTCATGCTGTCCTGACTGAGCACACGCACCTGTAACCTTGGCTGCTGTGCTCTCAGTGTGTCTCCCTGTTCCTGCCTGTTGGCGTCAGCTGATAGAGGTGTTATGATTCTATCTTGTTATGCACAATGTTGATTATTCTCTCTGAACTAGCTAAATACATGGGTCTGGGGTAGAGTTCTTCAGAATTGACGTGGCAACTCTACCGTGAAGTCAGAAACTCTGAAATTACCCATCCCTATGCTCGCTCTCTTCCAGCATTTATCCTTTGCAGAATAAAATCTTTGAGCAGCATGTGTATGGTTAAAGAGATGACTTCAAGTTTGACTACTTCCAAGTTAAAAAGCCATTGCTCTAACAACACCACTAAAAATGCTGCAAGATAACAACTCTAGGTAATAAAGAAGTAAAGTCTCAAGTACTTTGCCCACAATAACAAGTAAAGATGTGACAATGAGGCCACTCCCAGGAATAAAATCAACAATCTGCTCTGATTCAACTTTCTCCAAACATCATTTCACCTCAAGCTTTGAAATAGCCCTTATATTAACTATTAACTATTGAACTAGTTACCTCGGGAAACTTGTTACAAAAAACAAGCATAGAAGTACAGTTTAAATAAAGTCTTGATAAAAACAGCTCAGCCCACTTCTGCTACTCAGTGTGACGATAAGGACCTGAAAACTGAGCGCCGATATCCCTGGTCAATGTTTGTCTGAGGAAACACCCTGGAAGGTCTTTAGCATTGATTTGATCCACAGTGAAATACAGCCCTGCACAATAATCATATTAACAGTTATCAATTATTATAGATCAGACACGCTCTACCCACAGTCTTCCAAGTAAATCACGTGCTGCGTTTAATCATTTAACCAAACAAGTTAGATCCCTCTGCTCCACTGCATGTCTGACTCATGTGAGGGCATGGGTATTTCCCCTGCCCTCATTGTTGTGGTTAGAGGCTTACCATGAGGAATGATTAATGAGCCGTAGGTGTGGCCCTAAACTTTAGCAAAAATGCTTCCATGGAATACTACTTGTTTGTTCGCTTCACATCTAATGATATTAGGCAAGGCAAGGCAAGGCAAGGCAAGTTTATTTATATAGCACCTTTCAACACAAGGCAATTCAAAGTGCTTTACAAAAAATGAAAGACATTAAGAAAATGGCATTTAAAATCAGTCATTAAAAAGAAAAGATAATAAAATAAACATTAAAAGAAAAAATACATGGATAAAAGTTACAGTGCAGTTTAAGATGTGAATAGTTCAATTAAAAGCAGCGGCAAAAAGAAAAGTCTTCAGCCTGGATTTAAAAGTAGTAAGAGTTGCAGCGGACCTGCAGGTTTCTGGGAGTTTGTTCCAGATATTTGGAGCATAATAACTGAACGCTGCTTCTCCATGTTTAGTTCTGACTCTGGGGACAGAAAGCTGACCAGTCCCTGAAGACCTGAGAGTTCTGGATGGTTCATCATTTAGCAGTAGGTCAGACATGTATTTTGGGCCTAAACCATTCAATGCTTTATAAACCAGCAACAATATTTTGGAATCAATTATTTGACACACAGGAAGCCAGTGTAAAGACTTCAGAATAGGACTGATGTGATCCACTTTCTTAGTGTCAGTGAGGACTCGAGCAGCGGCGTTCTGAATTAGCTGCAGCTTTCTATTTTTTAGTGAGACCTGCAAAGACACCATTACAGTAGTCCAGTCTACTGAAGATAAAAGCATGGACAAGTTTTTCCAAATCCTGCTGTGACATTAGTCTTTTAATCCTAGAAATATTCTTTAGGTTGTTGGGGAAATATTTTCCAAGGCCCATAACTTTGACCCAGTTTATCAGTTCATGCTGTCCTGACTGAGCACACGCACCTGTAACCTTGGCTGCTGTGCTCTCAGTGTGTCTCCCTGTTCCTGCCTGTTGGCGTCAGCTGATAGAGGTGTTATGATTCTATCTTGTTATGCACAATGTTGATTATTCTCTCTGAACTAGCTAAATACATGGGTCTGGGGTAGAGTTCTTCAGAATTGACGTGGCAACTCTACCGTGAAGTCAGAAACTCTGAAATTACCCATCCCTATGCTCGCTCTCTTCCAGCATTTATCCGTTGCAGAATAAAATCATTGTTATGAGGAAGTAGCAGCACAATCGCATGAAATACAATCAGTAAAAAAGGGCAAGGTCATTAAGAGTACTGATACATAAAAAAACTGCTTAAATACACCCGCCATTATGAATTGATCAAACAAAACAGTAAATGGCAATGCATACATGCTACATTTTATCTAAATCACAATATGGTTATATAAACAATATAATATGATTTGTATTTGTAAGAGGAGAAAATAGTTCAGCCCTACAGTAGATTATGGGTTGAGATTACCATGGTTGAGCCGGAGTCTCTGTTACTGCAGAGCAAAGTTTCCTAACCTTGTCAAATATCATTGCAGAGTAAATATGTCAGAATTGTGCACATTCAGACAGTGTGTTTAATGTTATGCGTCGCTGACCAAACCACTGTTTAACTGGCTTTGCAATTTAAGTGTCAAACTGTTTTGAAATTAGGCTGTACAGTATGTACTCTAATCCATTCCTTATTATAGGGGTCTTTAAAATGTCAAGTCTAGCTGATCAACACTGAATTTAAATCTCAGAGCAGATCACAGGATCAAATAAATGGTAGAAATGAGCCCTCATGCACACATCTTCTGTATACAAGCAAGCCTTATAGAAGTCAAGGCAAGGACGCACACAATCTCCCATTCCCCCACAGGTCTAGACACCTATGCATCTAATAATAAACTCTTTCTGAGCGGCAGCTGGGATGTGCCGTCTGCAGCGCTGCAGTGGAAACTGTTCAGGAAGCCAAGTGACGGTTAATCGGCTTGGTGACATTTGACATCTGTGACTCACAGACGTGGGAGTGTGTGCGTGGAGGAGAGCTTTCACTAACTCATTGAGAACACACACACATCCTCAAGTTTATCCTTAATTGTGGGCAAAATATGAATGAAGGAAAGGAAAAGCCCTTATTGAGATGAGGAATGCAACTATTTCACTAGTTAATGAAAAGTCCACTTGTATCTCTTTTAACAAAAATATTACTGTTTTTCTAAATTTCAAAACATATGAGAATTTCACTCAACTGGGTAAAATAATCTGTCATCTCCGTGTATTCCTTTCCCACACCTATCCTTTACCCCTTGAAGCATTTGTACAAAACCGTTGCGGTCCTTGGCCAGACATCAAAAAATGAAACGTACATTTGCAACAAACTTTATAACTTCACAAGTTTTGAACTTGCAAAATTAAGGCTTTGTGAACAAAAAGCAGCAGGGAAACCTTGTGTTTGCAGTATAAAGGCAGTGATAAGACAAAGACAAACCGATGTTTGTATGAAAACACTGTAAGCACATGCCGTAAACTGATCATCTCATGTGACTTCCTCACAACAGACAAAAGGTCAAAAGGTGTTTTGGAAACATCCCTCCATCAGGTAGTGAACATAAGACGTTACTCACAGAAGTACTTGAGCGTCTCTTCTATCTGCTCGTGTGTGAGTCCCAGAGCCACGATTGGTGTCAGCAGAGGGGTGTGCAGCCAGTCGTCATGGTCGTATCCGAACACCGTGTCCGCTCGCAGGGTGTAGCTGGGCTGACCCTCAGACAGGAGGCTCACTATCTCCAACTCGGGCAGGTCAGAACAAAGGTCTGTGTAATATGGATAACGTTTTTGAGTGTATGGGTTTATATGAGGATAGAGAAACAAACAGAGAAAAAGGGCTTTAACAGCATGTCACAACAAATAGTCACAACAAATAGTCACCTACAATGACACACTGCCCTCTACTGATAGGTCTATGAACCTACACAGCTTTCTTATAAGTTTACAATAAAATGAACTCTTGTGCTTGGTATTTGCAAAATGCTCATACATTAAAATTCTTAATTAAGGGTTTAAGAGTTTTTGCAAAAACATAAATAAAATAGGAGTGTCTTCTCATTTATGTTCATATATTACTTTCAGGCATTCAGTCAATTGTACCAAACAATGTGAGCAATTATTTTGAACGTCGAAGAAAAATAAATCATAAAATCCTAGGACTTTTGCAAGATTAAATTAAGATGTTTAAATACCAAACAGGCCTTTTTTTAAGATAAATTACCTAAATACACCTTGGAATCTTGATTACATGTTTAAAAAAAATATATATTTATATATATAAATGAAAGATATTCTTCCTCTGTGACTCACCTGTTAAAGTTGAGACATCGTGGCAGGCTGGTTGTCCCAGGTCCCAGAGGCTCTCAGATGTTTCAATATGAAGAGGCCGGGGGTCCGTCCCCAGGGCCCCAAGCGCCTCCCCCTGCCCCTCATGGAGGGAGAACGCTGACTGGGAGTCCAGGTGGGCCTGTGGGGGCCAGGAGGGAGGAGAAAGAGGAGCAGGAAGAGGAGAGGAGGGAGGGGAGGCAGGGTGGGACAGCTTGAGACGGGGCTGGAGGGTTCAGGCTGAAGGCTGACCCAGAGCTGGGTGTCCCGCTGTGGGACTGAGGCCCCCTGCTGGCTCAGGGAGAGGACACAGGTCTCCAGGGCATCAGGCTCTGATTGGCTGAGAAGGTAACTAGAGAGGAGAATGCAAAGAGGAGGAGAGGGGAGAAAAGAGAATCATTAGGATGTTGGAACTGTCCATTGTTATGTTCATTATATTGCTGTATATCAGTGCTTCTCAAAGTGTGGTCCGTGAGCGCCCCCTAGTGGTCCGTGAGTATATTAGTAAAATGTCACATTTGAAATAAATAAATGTATTTAAGTTTTCCGCACTCTCGCGGGAATATCTCCGCAATGGAGCGAGCTTAAGTTTCACTTTCGATTGCATGATATAGCCCAGCGCAACACCTTCATCACACATGTTGCCACTTGTTTGTACCATTTCCAGGCGATTTGTGATCTGTTCTAGAAAAACGATGTGTCTTTGGATATTTGTGGAGTTAGGTGGTCCGCAAGTGTTTTTTTATTGGTTAAGTGGTCCTTGGTAGAAAAAAGTTTGAGAAACACTGCTGTATATTAAGAGCAAGTTGAGTGACATATTAGTGTTAATATTTTAGTTCGTTTTGGTAGTTATTTATGGTTTTGTTTTTTGCAGAGGTGGAAGAGTGATTCGACACTGGAAAAGTTATTTTTCTTTACCAGGAAAAGAGACATAAAAGCCGGTGTTCTTTGTATTTTGTAGTTTATAGAAAATAATAAATAAATTCTCGCCTAGACAATGGACATTTTCCTGTATAAGATTTGCTTCCTGGTGCTTTAGCGGCTCTTTGATTTTGGGTTTGTTTTCAGTTTTAAGAACAAATAGCCACCACAAGAATGTTTAAAGGGTGTTTAAAGGATCTAGGTGACAACAAATGTATTTAATATAGCAATGCAGGTGATTATGATAAGTATGTATTGAAGATTGCAATCTTATACAGTTCTGCATACAAAGCCTGCAATATGGTGTGACCACAGTTTTGTTTTCAGTCTCTCCATTTCTCAAGCAACACGAGTTAACAACTTTAACTAGACGTTGCTTGACTTCTGCTTTGTAGGAATACATTGAACGTTTTTGTTTTACCATTCAATAGACCCACAATTGGTCAAAAAGTCCAGCATATAACATCTCTCAAACTAGTAACTGCAGACTCGTCTTTTTAACACAGAAACTGAAACTTGTAAAACAACTCTCCATATGAGAAGCCATACAAACATTATGGTAACACTTTATATTAAGGTACACAAATTAACCATCAACTAGTTGTTAATTAACATGCATATTAGCAGTATATTGGCTCTTTATTAGTCATTATAAAATGACCGTATTCTACAAGTACTGTAATAAGCCATTAGTTGAGAGTTTTTCCTCAATAACCCTCTAATTAGTGCTTATTTATTGCAAGTAAGGAAGTTGTTGTACATGAGTTTTGGTCTTCATATGCTCTGCTCAATATGGGCCTAATAAGGCAGTAGTACCACAAGAATAGTTATTCTCCCATAATAACACTTAACAAATATGATCTATTCTTATGTAACAATACATTAAACTATAAGTGTTCATTGTGTCTAAATAACTCAAAATTAGGTATTTATATGTAAGAATATGTTTTGGGGTATTGACAGTTCAGCTACCAATAGCAAGGTGATATTGACCTGTATGTTTCATATTTGCACATTTATATTTTTGTAAAATTTGTACTGAAGGTTAGACAGGAAACCTATCAGCTGTCAATCACTGTTATGATTCACATATTCAGTGTTATTATTAAATAAACTATATTTTTTGGAGGAGTTAATGATGAATGTTCCTCAAGATGCTTGCTCACCCTCAAGTAATTACTATCATATATCAAAAGAATCAAAAGAACAGTTCAGCGCCCCACAACTTCATTGCAAACAGTTACAACCTTCACTTTACATCAGAAAGAACAAACATTAAAGAAGTGACTAACTGCATCAGTTAGGGTTAAAAAAACATGTATTCAGCTAAAACATATACATCGCTGCAGTTATTATCCAGTGGAAAGTCCTTACCTACTGGCCTAGTTAAATCAAAGTGGTTACTTTTTTTTGGCTGGGCAGTGTAGTTTTACACACCGTCTTATTTGACTTTCTCAGGACTTGAAACTTGAAGAAAAATGTTTTACACACGTAAGGTCATCATCTTAACCAGTGGTGTAGTGGTCGTTGGACGCGGGGGATCGCGGTCCCCCCACTTATTTGGAGCCCCCACTTTTTTGAAGCATGATTTTTTTTGAATAGTCTAATAAATATTTAAATCATTGCCAGTGTTATCGGTTGCAAGTGTGTATTTGTTGTAATAATGACGAAAACATCATACATTTCACAGTAATTATAATAAAAACGTAGCTCAAGTATTTATGCAACTTGATGATTTGAAGCGTGTGTGTGTGTGAGGGGCAGCACCGTGTGTGTGTGTGTAGGGCAGTGGTTCTCAAACCTTTTCTGTCAGGCCCCCCCTTTGGAGAAAAAAAAAAGTCGGTCCCCCCCAACACAAATAGTCACGTAATGGGCCAAGTTAACATTTATTAAAATACATCAATATGAACGTGAGCATTCCTTTTCTAGAACAGTGATAATAAAACAATGCTCCATAAGTCTGTGTGGTCAACAAAATAAATACATAATACAATTGTGCAATCCCTTTGCTAGAACAATAAGTCATAATACTTTGCCACTTTGCAATCTGTGCAAAAAAATGAAGAGAAAGAAAATGCTGATATTTGGCAAAAAAAGTGTGTCTTATCATTAGTGGCTGCAAAGAGCCTGTTTTGCACTGCACATTTCTTCAAAACGGGGTTGCAGGCTCAGTGGCGGCGCCAGAGATTTCTTTTGGGGGTGCTGTGGGGTAGCTTGACGTTTCATAGAGGGTGCTCAACAGTAGGGAAAGGGTTTCCCATTAATGTACCGGTCGCTACAGTGGAAGGCCCCCCCTGTCATGCCTCTGCGCCCCCCACTTTGAGAAACTGGTGTAGGGTGACCAAGTGTCCCTCTTTGTGCGGGACTGCACACACAGCATTTTTATCATTTGTCCCGCGTCCCACAAATTGAGACGATGTCCCGCATTTTGAGTGACAGTCGCGCAGAAAGGCCGGCTCGGTTCGCTGACGCCCTTTATTATTATATTTTAACGGCATCATGTAAGTTGCGCTGACAGGCGACAGAGGTCCACAGAGGTCCACAGTGTACCCCCCCGTTGACAGGTCACGAGCGCTGGCTGTTTAATCTATGTTCACACTGAGACAGTACAACACGTAGAGAGAACAGTACACCTATTGTGTAAGTACATACAAGCAGGTCACACAGTATGATCACAAATACATAAACTCTGTTTTTATTAAAAAGTACAGGCTGCATATGTGTTCTCAGCCTTGGAGAAACTTGACATGTTTTGGTATGTGTCTGAACCTCTCTTTAGTGGTTCATTAATAAAACAGATATTTCAACGTGTGCCTACTTTGTTCATGTGCTGTTGAGGTTAATTTCAGTAGTTGTGTGCTATAATGTATTTACAAAGTGTGAAGAGGAGGCAACTTTAGAATAGGGAACCTGTTCAGCTCAATTAGAGTCAAACTACTAGCTTATTGGTTATGAACAAGACTTCACTTTAAAATAGGGAACATATTATTAGATATAAATACCTAATTTTGAGTTATTTAGACACAATTAACACTTATAGTTTCATGTTACATAAGAATAGATCATATTTGTTAAGTGTTATTATGGGATAATTACTATTATTGTGGTACTACTGCCTTATTAGGCTCATATTGAGCAGCGCATATTAAGACCAAAACTCATGTACAACAACTTCCTTACTTGCAATAAATAAGCACTAATTAGAGGGTTTTTGAGGTCAAACTCTCAACTAATGGCCTATTACTTGTAGAATATGGTCATGTAGAATAAGGTATTAATAAGTGTTTTATAATGACTAATAAAGAGCCAATATACTGCTAATATGCATGTCAATTAACAACTAGTTGATGGTTAATTTGTGTACCTTAATATAAAGTGTTACCAACATTATAATTAGTAGAGTTAATGGGGTTAATTGTCTTTCCAACGGTCTCACAAATAAAACAATTAAAAACTACAAAAGGGTTAAGACTAATACTAAAATAGAAATGTTTTGTGATGAAACGGTATCAAAGAAGATGTTATATTATTATTAATAAAACCAGCAACTCCCTTAGTGCCAGTTTCTAATATCTCTTATCATGCAAGTAACTGAGACCCATTTATTTTTCAACAGATCTGAAGTCTGCCAGCATCAAACCTTTTGTCTGATCAGAAAGCCTTTCAGTAGAAGCACAACAGAGCCGGCCTCCTCTCTGTGTTGTAGGGTCACACGGATAGAGTAACCTCCGCCTGAAGCTACACACAGATCAGATTCCTCACAACTGTAACACACACACACACAGCTACACACACAGCCACACAGCCACACACATACACACAACGTATGGATTTCACACTGAACTGTTAACACCAGTAGCTCCAGCTGCGAAGAGTTAATGCATACAGTCTGCACTGATCGGTATTATCTCTGACAGTATGCACCATACAGCAGTGATTCTCACCGTGGGGACTGGGTTTACAGATTCACTCATTTAAAATACCACTCTATAAAAAGTCTTACAAATGTCACATAAAAACAAACATTTTAAATATATAATAGTTATAGATAACATTCCAATTTAACAAATATATAGCTCTTAGAATCTAAACATATCTTCATCTATTATCATTTAATTGTGTCTTGTGTTTTTATACTTTGTACCTTTGTTTCTCTCACTAAGACTGTAGAATAGGGAATAAAATAAGAGGGTCACATCAGAATACTCTCTGTCTTGTTAGGGGTCTTTACCTGAAAACAATTGAGAACCTCTTTTATTCAATAATGTACATCTTTGGAAAAGAAGACTATTTTAATATTTACGTTCTTTG